ACTATATAGACTTATTCATTGGAACTAACCTGGGAAAAAATTAAATATAAAACAGGAGATAAAGTTCTCCTTTTTTAATTTAATTGGTGCATTTTAAGTGTATTTATTTAGTGGTTCATATAATTCTGCTTTTATTTCTAATTACGTGAGTTTTGGTCCTCCGTACTGCAGAAGCCTGATAATCATCTTCATTCATATCAGGTGTGTTGGAGCAGAAAAACAAGTAAAACATGCAGGGCTGCGGCCCTCGAGGACYAGGATTGCTCATGCCTGAGTTACAACAACAAAACCTTTTCAAATTTTAAATCTGGTTAAATAAAAAGAAAACACTGACGTAGTTTTGGTGCAATACAGAGACAAAAAACAGTTTAAATTACTGTACTTTTACCATCTTCTGTCAGATTTCCAACTCTTTATACGAATTCATATCACCTGCTGCTTTACAAGCCAACGTTTGAAACTTGTCTTGCATCATCTATCAAAGGGACTTGGATCTATTAAAGGGGACATGTTATACTTTTATATCTTTCCTTTTTACATTGAAATCCTTCAGTTGGGTCTATATAAAGTGGAACTGCAGTGTTTTGGTCTGAATTGCTCATTATCGATCTCCACAAGCCRCTCTATCACGTCTGTTCTGAGGTGCATCTGAGATCAGCTCGTTTTGGTGCTGTGTCTTTAAAAGGTGTTGTGGAAATATTTGTTACCAAGACAGAAACACGTGAGGCCTTTCACACCCCTATAAGGCTCACTCCCAGTGACCATTGTTCACTCCATGTGTTTGTCCATTTTTGTAGTGTGATAGCAGAGGTACGTTAATGTAGCGGCACAGAAAGGTTTTATTTTACAAATTAAATAAAATATGTCAACAACAAAAGACTTTTCCATCGAACCCTACATGTTGGAGACAGAGTCTGACCCAGAGAGAGAGRGGAGAATGAAGGCAACGAACCTGCAGAACCGTGGATTTGCAAAATAACGTAATAATGATGTAATTGTTTAAAAAAATATTAGAGAAAACTGAACTGTATCTCATCACTTTTGTACCCAGGTGTCAACATGAACAAGTTAAATGTTTAAAGCTCTGATTAAACCCTTGTGTTTCCGATTGTTTGACTGCATGCTGTGTACCACACAAACATGTCATTAGCTTGATTTCCACTGAAGGGGCTGGTTAGTAGTGAAATGAATGTGAGCCGATAACTGCTTGAAAAGGTTTCAACGACGCAATCAAAACGCAATTAAATCCTAAAAGGTTAAATTATTCTTGGGAAAATGGTGTGCAGGAATGTGAACCGTATGCAGTTTGTGAGAAATGGGCCGAAACAAGCCGCAGCCACCCACACTGCACATGCTTTCAGTTGATGTTTGATGTGTAGACGGAGCTTTTTCAGAAGTCTCAACATATACAGGTATAAGACAACCACTGGAAACTACAAGTTTCTACATTTTTTTATGTTTGCACTTGGATAAGCAGCTCTTTACAGCAAGCAATAACTATGAACAAACAAAAGGTATCAGTAACAGGACAACATATTGAGAGATGGGAGACTAATTGGCTGTAACAGTTTTACTGCTGATAAAGAAATTTCATAGAAGCTAGCGTGACAGTGAAGGCACAGATGCAGTTTAATTATACAGTTCCAGAAGATAATCACACTCCCATGATTATTGAGGCCATTCTCCAACATGCAAGTGTTTGTGACTCAACACGTATGAAATTACCCCCCACCCAAAAAAAGATAACGAAAAAAGAGTTTTAAAGGGGCAATATCATGTAAAATCAAATTTTTTGAGTTTTATATCATGTTATAATGTTACACTCTCATAAAAACATGCCCAAAGCCTTGCTTTGACTCATTCATGCATGTTYGAGAAATCCTGCAGAGGTTTTAGGCAGCCATGCTGAGGAGCAAAACGACAGGTGGGGACCAGAAACGCCTTTTGGGACAAGAAATGCCTCCTCTGGGATGTGTCTTTGAGCCGAGCTTCCTCATGGCGGAGCCCCCCCCGCCCCCCACACACACACACACACACACACACACA